CAAAAGTTATATATATATATATTTAATAATCAATTTATATGTGTAAAATTTAATTATTATATATATAATAACTAAATTTTAATACAATAATATTAAAATAACAATTACGTTCTTTTCTTTCTCATCACCGAGAGAATAATTTGGAAAAATACGTAGGATTATCGGAAAATCTACACTCATTGCATCATAATAAATATCGCCATCAAAATTTTTATATTACAAACTATAATAGTATAGAAGTGTATAAAATAATACAAAATAAAATAAAGAGACTGAAATATAAATAATAATTTATTACCAATAATAAAAAACATAAACGTAAAAATTGTTTCTATTACTCAGCGCGATACGCTATCGCGTTTCTTGATAACAAAGCTTCATAATAATTCCAGTTAAATTTTACTTACCACAAAGAATTTTAATGTATTATTAATTTTTATATGGCTTGATGTTTTAAGAAAACTGAGAGCAATGGATACATTGTTAAGATTTATGCAGAAGACGAAGAATATGTGGCGACAGGTTGTACACGAATCAATATCCGATCCGCGAAACGACCTAGATAAGAGTGTAATTTTTTCACAGCTATAGAAAGAATGCGGCAACTTTATGATTTTGAAATTTTATTAAAATTTAAAATTCATGGAACGAAAACATTAGAAAATTCAAACATTTTAAAGTGACAATTATAATAAAAATAGAAATTATTTTGTGATTAAATAATTAAATATACATTAAGCAAAATTTTATAAATAAATGACTGTAAAGTGTATCTTTAAAATAGATTTTTACTTTTTTACGCTATTTTTAACAATTTCAATAGCATTATGACAATCGACATCCGTACCATTCATCATCCAACTTATTAAATTATTTGCACTTGACACAATCTACAAATAATTTGTAACTCTTCAGCGGCATTGCACTATCATGATTTATTTGTACAATACTTTGTTTGAGACAAAATCGTGTGTTGATTGTTTAATGAATAGAATATTCTTGCGAATGAATAATCGATTGAAACCTCGTTAATTGCAGGTTTTTGTATTATTACACTACAGTTGTATTGACAAACAATACTATTTATGTAGCTATGATCGAGCTTTTTTATTTTATTTTGATCCTCATTTTCTTATTCTGATTTTTTTAACTTTTCCCCTTTTCCATAGAAAACTTTTTCGCGCGAAAATTTATTTTTTACGTACATATTTATAAAATTTCATTTCGTATGTATTTAAATTCGAAGATTTGAAGATTTTATATCACATAAATTTGTATTGTTGTTCATATTGCAATTTGTTTATTTTTTTTTTTTAGTCGCGGTGAATTCAGATTTTATTTTAGTACATTACACACAAAACCCGATTTTGTTCTCAACGAATGTTGTCACAGTTTTTATTCCATAAGTAAAGACTTTTTATGAAGATTAAAGATTTACTTTTGTCTAAGAAGGGACATAACAACAAGATTATAAAAAGAAGATTAATAAATCCACAAGAGTTATAGTACCTAAAAAAACATCGGACATAAAGAGACTTTTCTCTTCTATAATCGTATATATTTTTAATCTTTTTTATTTTCTTTGTTTTTTTGCTTAAAAAGCTTCATACGTGAAATACGTAAATGTTTTATAACAATACCTATAATTATGGCAATTATTATACCATCTAATAATTTTAATTGTTATATATATTTATATAGATGTATTCGTATTGTTTCAAACATTGTTTACGGGATTTTTTTCGAGACATGAAAATATTGTTGTTTTCCCGCTAATCTGCGAAAGTAACGAACCTCGTTATCGCTTTCGCTTGTTTGTTCACGCATCGTGATAGATGGGGATCAAGTCAATCGGTGTGATTAATACTCGCGAGACGGATTAATTGTCGGGGTTCATTCACGCGTCCAGCACAGCGAAACCTCCTCGATTTCGTGAGTGATGCAAATGCAAGATTTATTAAAGCCGCGACGACGAATTTAAGTCTTGACAATTTGTAGAAACCATTCGTTAAATAAAAATAACCGTCCGCCGGCATTACGAGAAGCAGGTGTAATTCTGTCTCAGCTTGACTTATTAAATTTTTAACGCACCTGCGATATTGAGAAGGCGTTATTTTAACGTAGCAAGATTAAATTATTTACATATCGCCTCACCGAGGCGTTATTTAAATAGGGCAATCCTCATATAATTAACCATATGGCGTACGTACGCTATTCCTCATTATTTAAATTTATTTTTGACCTGTGTCGTTTGTTATCCAGACAGAAATGTACAATTTCTGGGACATTTAGTACATTTTATCTGGTGGTTAGTCCAGTTTCTTCCGCGCGTTCCGCTTTATTATATTCAGCTAAACTTTTTTCTCTTCCGCTACATGCACCTGATACATACATTACACGGAATATATGGATGCTACATGCTGTGTGACAAGAGGACAAGACAGACAGATGTGTGTGGGTGGTGAGACAACAGGGAGATGATGGATCCTGCTTCGTGTTCCGCGTCAATTTTTACGCGATTACGAAGACACGCTGTCAAACGATTGAAACAGTTGCTTCTTCTCGGAACAGAAACACCGCGAGATTAATAATCTGTAAAGAATCCTACAGAGACTGATTAAAAAGATTAAAAAAAGAAAAGAAGAAAAAAAATGACCTTGATGAGTGCAATTTGGAGTAAGACTTTAATTAAAACTTGGAAAAGTAGTATCTTTTACTTCAAGATTCTTAAAGGATTACCAAAATATTTTAAATTAATGCCACAAAATAAAAAATGATAATCGTAATTTCTGTCTAATTTTCAGATTAATTAAAAAAAAGTTTTGTTTGTGTTGTTCATACATATATAAAATTCTGAACGTTAAAGTTACAGCTACCGACGACTCGAGATTGCCTTAAAATAAAAACATTGTGCATTAAACCGTACAAAGTATTAAATTATAATTAAACTTTTAATGGGATGATATTTTAATGAGCTGATATTAACGGCTCCGAAATAGTTGATAATTGCAATAAATATCTGACCCTTGACGTCCTCCCACGTCTCGTTTTTCATGTGTTAGATTCATCCTTGTCTTCGCTTTCGCGGAGGCGGCGAACGCGGGCGTTCGCGCGGGCCACTGAAGAACCACCCCTCTTCTGTACCGGGGTGCTGGAGGAGCGGTGAAGAGGGCGAGCTTGAGGACTCGCCGGCGAAGAGAGGGAGAACGAGAGGGAGAAAGTGGACCGGGGGTAGAGCGATGGAGGGATTCGGCCGAAGGTGGAAGTTGCTATGCTATGTCCGATGGGAGAGAGGATGAGAGGGCGAGGAGACGAGAGAGGCAGAGACAGGGTGGCGCGGTGGTGCGTTGCTGGTGGAAAGCGGGAAAGCCTCTCCGAAGCGAACCACCCACAGTTCACTGCGGCCTCGCGAGCCGTGTGAGCCACAACACGTCGAGTGTCTCGTGTACATCGTGTCGTTCGGTCGCTCACTCACGAATCATTCTCGGCTCTTTCCATCATGTAAACAAAAAAAATGCCAGCTTGGGGTATGCGTTTCCCATAGACGTGAAGACTGAAAGACATCCGCGATGTAACACGTGGCGGATGGGATTCGTGAGCAGACGGTGATTTCCTAATCGCAACACAAAAAAAAAATGAGAAAGCAAAAGTGACATTATACTACTTTTCCGCAAAAGTAATACGTAGTGCTGAGTGTTAAAATGGAGATATTTCGAACCCGGGATGTGTCACCTCGCTGGGAGAGATAAATTATGGTGGAAAGTTCAACTTCGATCTATCGTTTCTGTGGACATCACGATGTCAGCGATGTGCGGCCGAGTACGGAAGATGTCTTGCTCAAGGCTAAGAATCCAACTTCGATCCTCTCCTCCTGGACGCCGCAGCAGTCGTTGGATTCCGATGACGTTCCTGTCCGATAAATCCAAGATTGATGGCCCTTCGATTCTCCAAGCAACTTCAATCTACTAGACATCTTGACGATCTCTATGGGTCTTCTTCCGAATGAATCTTATTAATTGAATTATTAATTATTAATAATTTGCAACGGTTCTCCATTGGCAATCATAGCGGCTTTGATAAATAAAATTCGAAGTTATTTAAGCTGAAAAAGATCACCACCGTTTCAAAACGTTTCTCTCTGTTTAATCGAAACAAACAATTCGCCAATCATTCTTTCACGCCATGGCTTTCATCGATGCTCCGTGTGCGCTCGCCGCTCGTAATCGGTGATCAATTGTTGTGACTACCTCCAATATTGCGATCTTCAGGATATATAGCCGCTATTAAACGCTCTGATGAAA